GGGGGGGACTTGAGTCAGCTGCGGCTACCCAACAATGTCTTGAGACAACACAACAACTGCCTCAGTCCCAATCAAGTTGGGTTTAGTGATATGAACGATCATTTCTTTTTTTTACGCTCAACTCATATAGCTAAATATCCCGCTCACATTTCTGTCTTGAACTGCCAAAAGTGACCTCTTCTTTTCATTGTTATTCGCGAGAAAAAAGAGTGAAGTGATTCCAGGGCTGGAATCACGGATGGAGTTCAGGCACATTCCACTGCCAACTAGAAAGAGTACCCTTTTACACCATGCTATTTAGCTGAGTTCCAACGAGTAAGTTGTCTTTCTCAGCTAGGTTCAATCCACCCCCTCAGTGGAAAACCATAATATGCCCAAGGAAATCCTTCTGTTTTTCAAGAAGGAATTGCCATCACCAGTGGAAGTTGAACTCGTATGATTCTTGGCTTTATCAAGCTTGTGATGCCATTTTAGTTATCATTCTTGTCTTGGTGGGAACTACTTATTTTCAATTTAAGCACCAAAACAATAAAATAAATCCTGAGTTTATCATAAAAAAAAATAAAATCTTTTATTGGGTGTTGTGAGAAATTTTATGTCAATGGAACCATTGGTCTTCCATAGCATTGACCCTTGAGGATACATTATTGATTAGCCTGTGAATGTTTAATCTGTGACACAACTAAACCACTCACCTTTCGGTAGAGCTTCATTTCTTTGTTAATTTTTCTACTACCTTCAACTTCACTGCTCTATACAATTTTCGTTTTGGGTGTCTATTTCATGCTGGAGACCTGATCACGTAGTGATAAGAACTTCATCCGTGACCTCAGACTAATTCTTTGAGTTCAGGTGAGAGGAAATCATACTGAGGTTCTGGTATCACATGGATGGACTTCGAATGAACTTATCAATATCTGCTCAGGCAAATATAGTACACGGCATATGCTTATTAGACTTTGATGAATCCCAATATAGTATTGCTTATACTACGTTGTACTGCTTTAACTAACCATGATAATAGATAAAAATCATTCACGTACCGAGTTTTAGTTGATTAGAATATATGTGGTTAGTAGTATATTTATAATACGTACTCACTCATTAACTGATCTGTGCTGCTATTTTCATTTGTACCTTAAGGAACTATTTGCTTTCTTTTATACCAGGATTTGGATGTGATACTGGATCAGTCATTAACATCCTTGCTCATCGTGATGCAACTCAACGTGCTCTCATTCAACAGGAATACAGAGTTATATATTCCGAAGAGCTTAATAATCGCTTATCCAAAGAGCTTAGTGGTGACACCAAGGTATTGGCGTAGAGTTTAACTTTTATACGCTGATAGTATTAAAAAAATTACACTGACATGTCACTTAAAAGGTTACTACAGGTAATCGTCCGTAATAGTGGGATTATTAACCTGGAAAATACTGAGTATTTCCTGCTACAACATGTTAAAATACGGTGATAGTGTAAAAATTCTTTACACTGACATTTCTCTGTCAAGTTGTCTTGTGTTTTATTTACTGTATCATTTGGAATAATGATTTCAGAGAGCATTCTTGCTATGGATGCATGATCCAGCGGGAAGGGATGCCACTATTGTCAGACAGGCTTTGAGTGGCGTTGTTGTTGATCTCAGAGCTGCTACTGAAGTAATATGCTCTCGGACTCCTTCCCAGATACAATACTTCAAACAAATCTATTATACCATGTATGGTGTCTACCTTGAGAAAGATATTGAATCACGGGCATCTGATGATCACAAAAAGGTATACTGGATTTTCCTTTGCATTTGCAGATGCACAAGATAATTGTCGCTCTAAGTTCTTCTTTATTCCTTGATAAACAATGACGAACACATGAAAGAGAGAACGATTTTGGGGCATCTAAAAGTAGACAACTTTGTTTGGTAACAACCAGTGGCGGAGGGAGGGCTTTTGCTAAGGGGGTTCAAAAAAGGATTAAGTTAAAAAATTTAATGAGATTGTAGCTAGTGGGAATTGAACTAATGACCTCATAATGGTTTTGAACTCCCTTGACCACTAAGCCATGCTTTTGGACCGTGTTAAGGGGATTCAAAACATAATATATACAGGTAAATATCAGATTTTGCCTTATATACACGGTGTAATTTTTCGGCGAAGGGGGTTCGGGTGAACACCCTTGTGCCCCCCTAAATCCGCCACTGGTAACAACTTTGGAGTTGATGAATAAAAGAAAAAATTAATGAGAAATTTAAATTTGCTATTCTACAATTACAAGCTGTTGAATTCTGAAGCATGTATATGATTTTGTATGAGCAATAAAAGTTTTTGAGAGGGCACTATCCTAGAGATCAGAGGATGCTTAACTGACTCATGTAATTATATTTGATGCCCATCAGTAATGGTGAATCCATTATTTTTATAGGATATAAAAAGGCAAGAATGACAAACCGAGTTTCAAACCAGCAACCTAAAGCATTTTTGAGTCACCTTCTCACCGCACTAGAAGCTTTACTTATTGTGAGTTTAATGAATCTGAGTTTATCTCTCAGATTCACCCATGCATTCTCGGATGAAGCTCAGCTGTGACTATGCTTGAGAGAAGAAGATGAATGCAGAGAATGGAAAAATGAAATTCTGTATTTCCACACAATGTAATTACAAATATATATACTATAACTTAACTCTAGTTCTAACAACCTAACCATGGTCAGTTGGGTCCCACCACTAACTACTTTTAACTAACTAAAACTAGCTTTAACTATTTTAACCACCTAGCTGAACTACTTATTCTTCACACTCCCCCTCAAGCTGGGGGGTGCAAGATATTGAGCACTCCAAGCTTGCCTAAAAGAAAAGTATGTTGCGGATGGCCAAGCCCCTTGGTTAACAAATCAGCATGTTGATCCTTAGTCCCCACAAAGAGAGGCATGATCGCACCTTGTTTAATCTTGTCACGCACAAAATGACAATCGATCTCTATGTGTTTAGTACGTTCGTGAAAGATAGGATTGACTGCTATTTGCAAGGCAGCCTTGCTGTCACAATAGACATTCACCGGTTGTTTGTCACACCAAGCTCAGCAAACAGTCCCAACAACCATACAATTTCTGTTGTTACTGCTGCTAAACTTCGATACTCTACTTCTGCAGAGCTTCTTGACACCGTATGCTGCTTTTTTGATTTCCAAGAGATGAGTGAATCATCAAATTTGATCAAATAGCCAGTAACAGATCTGCGTGTGTTTGGATAACTTGCCCAATCAGCATCACGGAAGCAAGTCAAGCTATCTTCATTCGACCTGCTTAGAAATATTCCCATCCCTGGCTCTTGTTTAATGTATCTGACAACTCTCACAGCTGCATCCCAATGAAACTTTTTGGGCTCTTGCATGAAATGACTAAGAGTTTGCACTGCAAACACAATATCTGGCCTGGTAATTGTAAGTTAAATCAGCCTATCAATCAGTCGTTGATGTTCACTTGCATCAGGTAGTACTTCATCACCTGTAACCCCAGTGTGTCTGTCAAATTCAGCTGAAGTGAACTTTTGATTGCGGTCAATTGGAGTGAATACATGCTTATCTAAGCCTAAATCAGAGATCAGTTGAAGACAGTACTTTCTTTGATTTAAAAGAATTCCACTTTTGGACCTTAACACTTCAATTCCCGGAAAGTATTTAAGATCACCTAGATTTTTGACCTTAAACTGTTGATGAAGCACATCCTTAGTCTCATTGATGAATTCTGTGTTGTTTCCAGTTATCAGCAAGTCATCTACATATATCAATACTATCACAAAGTCTTCTCCCTTTTTCTTAGTGAACAAGGAGTAATCATGGAGACTTTGAACATAACCTGCAGCTATTAGGGCCTCACTAAGCTTAATGTTCCATTGCCTCGAAGCTTGTTTCAGACCATATAGTGATTTCAGTAATCTGCAAACCTTTGTCTCCCCCTGTTTCCTGAAACCTTGAGGAAGTTCCATATACACTTCCTCATACAAATCTCCCTGTAAGAAGGCATTATATACATCCATCTGTGTGATATTTTAACCTTTAGAAGCAGCAAGAGCAATAAAAGACCTCACAGTTACCATTTTGGCAACTAGTGAGAAGGTTTCATTGTAATCCAAACCTTCTCTTTGGCTATACCTCTTGGCAACTAATCTGGCTTTAAACCTTTCTACTTCTCCACTGGCTTTGTACTTAATCTTGTATACCCATTTCGACCCAATGGCCTTTTTTCCTCTTGGCAGGTAAACAATACTCCGGGTTTCGTTGTCTTCTAGTGCCTTGATCTCCATTTCCATTGCTTCAATCCATCTTTTGTCCTTTGAAGCCTCAGTGAAGTTCCTTGGCCCAGTCAATGTGGAAATGTTAGTCAGGAAACTCCTGCATTTATCTGTCAACTTTGCATAAGATAAGTAGTTGGACAATGGATATGAGGATCCCTGTCCCTTCTTGGTGGTCACATAATCTTATAACCATAAGGGCTCCTTTAAAGCTCTTTTGGACTTCCTTACTTCATTGTTTTCCAGCTCTACAATTGGTGGGAGAATGACATCATTTGACAATGTAGATTGCTGCTGTATAGGTGTTAATAGCTCTGCAGCATCTGAACTTAATTCAGCAACTCCAGTTTCAGACATGTCTATATTGCTGTCCTCTGCAATTGCTGATAGGTCCTGCTCAGCATGAGCATTTCCTTCTATATTGCTATCCTCTGCAACTGCTGATAGGTTCTGCTCAACCTGAGAATTTCCTTCTACAACCTCTTCATTTCCTCCGGTGTCAACTGTTGTATGTGCATCATGACATCTTGGCTCAGCATACTCCTCTGGGCTATCACTTCCAATTCTCTCAAGCTGCAAATCTGCATTATTGGGACGTTGTATTACAAAAACATTCGCTGTTGTGTGTTCTTCTGCAATGTGAGTTTGGGAAGCAGGTTTGGCAAATGGAAAGATATGCTCCTTGAATACTACATCTCTGCAAACAAAGAAACAGTTAGTAGATAAATCCATTAGCCTATAGCCCTTCTGTGTCTCTCCATATCCCAGAAATATAGCTGTCCTTGCTCTTGGTGAGAATTTATCTTCTTTAATCACATTGGTAGCATAGCAAAGACATCCAAACACCTTGAGATGAACTAAGGAAGGTGGTTTGTTACGTAGAGCTTCATATGGAGACCTGCCATTTAACAGAATAATAGGCAATCTATTTATCACATAGACTGCTGCTTTAACACATTCACCGCAGAATCTTGTAGGGACACTAGCTTGAAACTTCATTGCTCTTGCTATGTCTAGGATATGTCTATGTTCCATCTCCACTACTCCATTTTGCTGTGGAGTGTATACACAGCTGCTCTGGTGAATTATCCCATAAGCATCAAATAATTCTGTCATGTGTTTATTAAAAAATTCTGTCCGATTGTCTGTCCTGATCACTTTTACTCTAGACTGAAATTGTGTTTGCAACATAGAAAGAAACTTCTTAAGTACTACAACAACATCACTCTTCAATTGAAGTAAGTGTATCCAAGTATATCTTGTATTATCATCAACAATAGTCAAAAAGAAGTGTTTCCTATCATGAGTTGGGTACTTATATTGTCCCCAAACATCCAAATGCAAGAGAGAGAGGGGATTCTCACTTGTAGTTGAACTCCTAGGAAACACTAATCTACTTTGCTTAGCAAGAGGGCATACATGGCAGTCATTGTTTATTGCTATATCTACAGCTTTATTATGAAAGAAATCTATATTTTTCATAGTACTAATTGAAGCATGGCCTAATCTTCTGTGCCAAAGTGCTCCATCTTCCTCATTATTCTTTGTGGTTGTCGATGCAAACTGTTTTATTCCCCTGATGAACTTGTCCAAATCTCCTTTGAATCCTTTCTTCAATATGTACAGACCACCCTTCTCTCTACCAATCCCCCTCACCTTGCCATTGTAAAGGTCATGGAACAAGCAGAACTCAGGTTAGAAATTCACTGAGCATGACAATTGTCTAGTTAGCTTAGGAACTGACAAAAGATTGAATTTAAACTCAGGCACAAATAGCACATCATCCAATTCCACTTTTTCAAGAATGACTGCTTTTCCAATATGTGAAACACTAGCCTTTTCTCTTGTGGGTAAGTGAACTTGTTCATTGCTATATGCATTTACTTTGTCTTTGACTTCTAATGCATCTAAATCACCAGCAATATGATGTGTAGCTCTAGAGTCAATTATCCATTCTGTACAAGGAAA